CTGCTCTTTCTCGCTTTAGCTTTCCTATAGCCTTTTCAACTTCATAAAGGTTCGGTGGGTTTACGTCGACTTTGCCATTCAGGATGACTGGGGATAGTGGGCAGTGGAGCAATGCTAGGAGATGCTGTCCAGTGGGAGCGGCTGACCAACAATAAGTCCATATGCCATTTGCTTACTCACATTCATGAACCCGGTATGCACCATTAATCTGGATTGATGAAAGGTTTCCCAACTTCCCCTTTGTTGGTAATCATTGTAACTTTTTTCTACAACGAATAAAAACATGTTTTTTCATTTTCTATTATTATTTCAGTTCTAATCTTGCGTCAGAATTCAATTTATGTTCTATGCATGATGTATTCGATTCATCCGCTGTCGCTGTAGCTGTCAGTGCAACTTCATTAACTAGAGATGATGTTCATTCATACACTGCACCATCACTATCCGCGGAGACAATTAATCCTGCTGATGGTAAATTTGACAATAGACAATCATCACTATCAGGTAAGAAATGAAGTTTTGTTTATTCTCACATTTATATGCTTCATCATGTATATGTCATAAATGGCTTAACAGACAGATACAACGCAGAACTTCGTACGTAAGTACATTAGTTCAGGTTGCCATACCACATCAGCACACAGACGCAACTGTCAGTTCAAATCCAAGAATGATAGCGATAGTAGAAGTATTAGCAGTAAGGAATGAAGATATAATTCGAGAAGTTTAATTCAGTGTGATAAATTTAGAAGGAGAAAGATAGAGATTATGAGGAATTCAGGAGGTTAGAATTTCATAGAACACAAAGAGTGGATGCACCTGTGCCATTGAAAACGATTTTGAGCCATGTCGTTCAAGGTCTCTAACCATCAGAGACTTTCGTCTCACGGACCCCAACCAGGTAGTCTGCATCTACCAACATGACTCAGTCCACTTGTCAGTGACTTCATGGTTTTCTGCCATGTTTTGGTTTGGCCGCCCCTAACTTTCTTCCAACCTATTCCTACACTACAAAACATAGCTCGTCGCGGCAGTCGGTGGTTAGGCATACGTAACACATGTCCTAACCACTTCAACTGATGAAGTTTCACCACTTCATCTATTGATTTGCCATCCTTACCTAGAACTCGTTTTCTAACGATAGCATTGCTTACTTGGTCGTCCCTAGATACACGAGCAATGCTTCAGATACACCTATGATCGAAGACTAGTAACCTATATTACTTTTTTTCACTTAACGTGAATAGCCTATGATACATACGAATCTACTACCTATAAGATTTGTCTCTTAGAAATACATGCTAACACACACGACGCAGATAGGAAATAAATCCCATACCAGGACGAAACAACTGTCCATTGTTTCTAGATTTCTTATGGTGGTCTAACAATGATTCATTCATAATTTCAGTGTGTAAAAACAAAATATAATGCAAAAATTAAAAAAAAATGTGCTCACTAGTGACTACTAGTTTCGTGAAGAAATTCTCGGAGTTCGGATCGCTGATCGCCAAAATGAGATTGAAGCTAAAGAAGCACTGGACAACGGGGCAGACAACATCACAGAAGTTTAATACGGCCTTTCTTCGGGATACCGTAAAACTCAACGAATTCAAGATAGCCCTCACCAATAGGTTCCAGGCCTTTCAGGATCTACTCAATGGAGAGGAAGCAACATTGGAGAACAATTGGAAAGGGATTAAGGAGGCAATCACTTCAACATGTCAGGAGGTCCTTGGTCGCAAGAAGCACCATCACAAGGAATGGATCTCTGTTGATACTCTTGCAAAAATTGAAGAAAGGAGGAACAAGAAGGCAGCAGTGAATGTCAGCCGAACAAGAGCAGAGAAAGTTAAGGCGCAAGCCGAGTATACAGAAGCAAACAGGGAAGTGAAGAAGAGCATCAGAGCTGACAAACGAAAATATGTGGAAGATCTAGCAATGACGGCGGAAAAGGCTGCAAGAGAAGGAAACTTGAGACAATTGTACGAAACAACAAAGAAGCTCGCTGGAAACTATCGTGAAGCAGAACGACCAGTGAAAAGCAAGGAAGGGAAAATAATCAGCAACACTGACGAACAGCGAAATAGGTGGGTGGAGCACTTTAAGGAACTATTGAATCGACCAGCTCCACTGAACCCACCCAACATCGAAGCAGCATCCACGGACCTCCCAATTAATATTGGCGCACCCACGATTGAGGAGATCAGTATAGCCATCAGACAAATCAAGAGCGGCAAAGCAGCAGGACCAGACAACATTCCAGCAGAGGCAATGAAAGCAGATGTGGAAGCAACTGCGAAAATATTTCACATTCTCTTCAAGAAGATTTGGGATGAGGAACAAGTACCATCAGATTGGAAAGAAGGATACCTCATCAAAATACCAAAGAAAGGCGATCTCAGCAAGTGTGAAAACTACAGAGGCATCACTCTTCTCTCAATACCAGGCAAAGTCTTCAACAGAGTATTGTTAAACAGAATGAAGGACTTCGTAGACGCCCAACTTCGAGATCAACAGGCCGGATTTCGTAAGGATCGATCATGTACTGACCAAATTGCTACATTACGGATCATTGTGGAACAATCAATTGAATGGAACTCACCACTCTACATCAACTTCATCGACTACGAGAAAGCATTTGACAGCGTGGATAGGAAAACACTGTGGAGGCTTCTTCGACACTACGGTGTGCCTGAGAAAATAGTCAACATCATTTGGAATTCTTATGATGGATTCAACTGCAAAATCGTACACGGAGGTCAGCTGACAGACTCTTTTGAGGTGAAGACCGGTGTCAGGCAAGGTTGCTTACTCTCACCCTTTCTCTTTCTCCTGGTCATCGACTGGATTATGAAGACGTCAACATCTGGAGGGAAGCACGGTATCAACTGGACAGTTAGGACGCAGCTGGACGATCTGGACTTCGCAGATGATCTGGCTCTTCTATCGCACACTCGACAACAAATGCAAGAGAAGACGACCAGTGTAGCAGCAGCCTCTGCAGCAGTAGGTCTCAACATACATAAAGGAATAAGCAAAATTCTCCGATGCAACACAACATGCACCAACCGAATCACGCTTGATGGAGATACCTTGGAGGACGTTAACACCTTCACATATCTGGGCAGCATCATCGACGAGAAAGGTGGATCGGACGCAGATGTGAGGGCGCGGATTGGCAAAGCGAGGGTTGCATTTCTACAGTTGAAAAATATCTGGAACTCCAAACAACTTTCAAACAAAACCAAAATCAGGATCTTCAATACAAATGTCAAGACAGTTCTACTGTATGGAGCGGAAACATGGAGAACTACCAAAGCCATCATCCAGAAGATACAAGTGTTTATTAACAGCTGTCTACGCAAAATACTTCGTATTCGTTGGCCAGACACCATCAGCAACAACAAACTGTGGGAGAGAACAAGTCAGATTCCAATGGAGGAGGAAACCAGGAAGAAGCGGTGGAAATGGATAGGACATACACTACGAAAAGCACCCAACTGCGTCACTAGACAAGCCCTCACATGGAACCTTCAAGGCAGAAGGAAAAGAGGAAGGCCAAGGAACACACTACGCCGAGAAATAGAGAAAGATATGAGAGGAATGAACAAACATTGGACAGAACTGGAGAGGGAAGCCCGGGACAGAGTTGGTTGGAGAAAACTGGTGGGCGGCCTATGCTCCATTGGGGGTAACAGGCGAAAGTAAGTAAGTAAGTGGACTAATTCAACCATATCAGGTGTAGACAGTTACCTACCGAAGGCGATGGGCGAGGCTGCGCGAAATCCTTAGATTGATCAGAGTTAGTAGACATTAACACCAGCTGGATGCCGACCAGCTCAATGATTCAGAGGTTAGACGTTCGCGCGCAAGACCGACGGCCCCGGGGTTCGAATCCTGTGAGTAGCTGAGGTCGTGAATACGCACTATTGATGAGTCCTATACTAGGGACGAGAAAATGTCTGTCTTTCAGTGTTTCCAGGTTTCTAATGTTTGTTTCATGATATTAATGTGTAAAAACCGATGAACACAACTAATCGTGTTCAATAATTGTCGAGATTGGTAGTGAACAGTAAGTATTATTCACATTTCCTAGGCTTATTCGATTGCATAATACCAATTCTCATATTCCCATTGATCGGTTTGTCTATTGAAAATAAAAGTAACCATAATTTCTACTGTTTAGTTCGTTCGTTAGTTAGTTAGTTACTGACCTTTAAAGCATATCATTCTTGGTCGTTGTTGTGTACACTGCCTATTTATTGTCTGTCTGTCTATCTGTCTGTCCGCTTATCCATATCACACAATAATCGAATCAATGTGAACATCACAGTAATCAGATACATATACATATGGCAGGCATTTTAAATAGCATAAGCGCAGTGTACGCAATAATTAATGAAGAAGAAGCCGTGACAACAACAATGTACACGCGCATGCGCGCACGTGCACCCATGTGTGTATGCCTCTGCTGTGCAGTTTTTACACTGGGGTTGTGGTTGGCCTTTAATCAAATAGTTGTGAAAATGATTTTCATCACAAAATTATGTATTTCTAGATCATATATGAAATGCATTGTGTTGTGATTCTTTGAAATTTCCGTCAGTCGGTCAGTCAATCACTCAGCCTGCTTTCTTCCATCTGTATGTTTTTTTTTTAAATCGCAAGCACAAACAATGTAATTCCTTTGTTTTGTTTGTTTTTATTGTCAAAGCACAATCATACTACTACTGTGCGTCAGTGCGTGTGTGTGCGCATCTCTATTTTGTTTTGTGTTCTACTGTTGATATTTTTTTAAATGTTGGTGTTATCCGATTTTGTGAATTTTTGTGTGCAGTCCTTTCTATACTTTTTAATGGGTTGATTGAAATGTATATATTTTTTAATCAATGACATATTGAACACAAAGAAATATCATTTGAAATCATGAATCGATCATTGTTTCACCCTCTGCATTAGAAACCTGGAAGCAATGGGAGACGGTTGTTTCATCCTGGGGCCGGAACAGACCAAAACATGACACAAATCCATGATAAAGTCACTGACTTCCGGGCGGAGTCATGTTAGGTGTCGAGATTGACGGTAACTGATGGTTAGAGATCCTGAATGATATGACTCAAAATCACTTGCATCCACTCTTTGTGTTCTCTCAAATTGTGTAAACTTCTGAATTCCTCATCACCTTCCCTTCTCAAGTTTATTTCACTGGATTTATACTCCATAAAACAATTTCTTCGAACCTTAATCTCTCCTATTACTGCTATTACTTTGACTACTGTGGGATTTGAATTGACCATTGCATCTCTGCGTGCTAATGTGATATGACAATTTGAACTGGTTGTTTTTTTGATTGACTGACTGTTTCATCCCTAGCATGGGACTCATCAGATGTGCGGATCCATTACTCGTGCTATTCGCAGGAGAACGCTTTGTTTGCATTTTAATTCCGACTAAGATTTCGATGGTTTTAATTTAACCGATACACACGTGGTTAATCTAATTGGTACACGTACTCACTCACACACACACACACAAATACGAAGACAATTTTTGTTTAAAACCACTTAATTACTAAAATTAGTTGCATAAACAGTATAAATACGAATGGATGGTGAAAATTGTTGAGTTTTATTGAAATTGTGCACTAACCAACGATAGATAGATGATCGCCATTGGAAACCTGGAAATGTGACACCAAAAGCCTTGAGTTTGATTCCCACTTATGTGGTTGTGGATTTGCTTAGCGGATCAATAGTTCCATACTTGGAGGAAACGGTTGTCCATTGTTTCCATGTTGATGGTTCCAATGTAAATCAGATAATCTTGTCCCAACCAGGTAGTCTACACTTGCCAACATGACTCAGTCCATTTATCAGTGACTTCGTGGATTTCTGCCATGTTTTGGTTTCACCGCCCTTAGCTTTATTACATCTTAATCCTACATAGCAAAACATGGCTCGACGAGGCAGTCGTTGGTTGGTCATTCGTAACACATGTTGTACCAACCGACCCAACTGATGAAGTTTTACTACTTCATCAACTGGATCTTCCATCCTTACTTAGTACCCGACTCCTAGCAAAGTATGGTTCTATACGAATCGATTCCCAACAATTCGTTAACCGTTGATGTGCATTATATCTTAGATATTGTATTTTCTTCCCCCATTGTCACTCTTTTCATTTTTCATAGATCGATCTTTTGAACATCATTTTTCAATGCTTGCCACATCAACTCCACCAGAATCACCAAATGTCAAACAGAATGCAACATCTATGGAAGCACACGCCAGCGACAATTCACATATGTTCACTTGCTGTTCATCAATAATCCCTAATAATTTTAATGTTCGAATTATATGTCAAGGTGTAGTCCAGCGTCGAACTGTATACCGTTTTACACCAACACTTAATTCATATCAAAGTTTCGATACAATCAGTCCAACTAGTCCATTGTTTGCCTCATCGTCGTTACATGCTTCCAATTCTTCTCTATCTGGTTCTTCAGTCGTTGTTGGTACTACTGGATCGACAATGACAACGAATACAAAACAAACATTACACAACGCGTCAACATCATCATTATCATCGACATATCGACCAGCTGGTTTCTCTAAATGGCGTCGTCTATGGGCTACTTTAGTTATGGTTGGTGATGGTCTCACTGCGTATATGATTTATTTTGAACCGAAAGTAAAAAATGCCATCTATCGTAGTCAAGTAAGTTTGTAGTGCCTCCACATATTATATTCGAGTTCGCTTACATTTAATTTGGTTAAGCAGCCCTTTCGATTAATTTATTTAACCTAGCCATTAATTTGTATTGCAACAATTTATATGTTGTACCATTCGTTCTTATTATTGTCTGGTTTGTATGAGCTCACATGACGTCCCACTGTGGTGCGCGCTACTTATAAGTAGTATATGACGCGAGTAAAAACTTAATGTCTGGCAGCAGAAGATGGGGGAAGATCAAGAAAGGAAGAGTGGGAACACAATGGATTGATGTTTGCATCAGGAACAGTCCAGTTCGATATGATGGATTGATATTTTACAAATTAACGATTTACGATATAGTTTTTCTATTTTACCGATTAACTCTGTAATTTGAGATAAATACAATTCGGTTGCCCTCAACTGTATTCTCCTTCACTACACCACTTGTCATTTGACCTTGTCAACTATTCGTCGCTTTTATTCATGTGTGCCTATTACGCTTGTCGCACGTCTGTCTTATATTTGTCTGACTATATATTCTTAGTCATGCTCTAACCCTTTGAGTTGGCTTACTAGCCTTCTCCACATCGCTTCATCCTGTTCCTCCACCCATTCATCCTCATTGTAATCGTAGGAGTTGGCTCAACAGCCTATTCCAACTCACGTCGCTTCATCCCTTTTATTCACTGCTTCTTCGCTTCGCTTTGTGGTGTGTCCCGAGGGGGTGGCCAAACCAAAACATGGCAGAAATGCATGAAGTCATTGACGAGTGGACTTAGCCATGTCGGTAATTGCCGACTACCTGGTTGGGGTCCGCGAGATGTTAATAATCGATGGTTAGAGACCTTGAACAACATGGCTCAAAATCGTTCGCAATGGCGCCAGTGCATTTATTCTTTGTGTTCTCTCAAATCCTAATCTTCTGGATTTTTCGACCCCTCTAGTTTTGACTTTCTAAACTTTTCTCATTGAATCATACTTCTTGAATAATATCTTCTAATCCTAACCTCTCCGATTACTTCTAATACCTTTACTACCTCTTCTACTATTGGATTTGAATTGACAATTATATCTCTGTGCTGATATGGTATGGCAACATGAACTGATGTACTTACTTACGAAGTTCTACGTTGCATCTGACTGACTGACTGACTGTGTCCCAAGTAAACGTATTCATCACTACGAGTTCACCTTCTGATTTACAAACCGTCGTCAGACGCTATTTAGTAACGATTGTGTAGACCAGCTAATCACGAAAGATTAAAAACACGCAGTAAATCGACACATTACAAATGGTGAGACCGCCGTTGAAATGGGTTACCACAAGTTTCATATTCTCTTTACTTTCTAAATGTGTAATATTGTTGTTTTTTCATTGAAATTGTTCTCTAAAAATGTGTTTTTTCTCTCTCTCCTCTTGTTCATTATTATTATTTCAGTTTCAAGCTCATCAATGCCAAATCCATTGCTTGTTCAGTCCTCCTCCTCCCCCTTCTCCTTCAGTTGTATTATGTGCTTCCAGTCGTCGAAAAAACAAACTGAATGAATTAGAGAAATTACAAAATCCAATTGCTGATGATTCAGTTGAAGTAGATATAGCTGAAGTTTCAGAACTTCTCAACGAATCCAACTCGAATAAATCTGACATTTGTACTACTACTTCTACTACTACTAATAATAATATTCATCAGAAAATTGCATATGATCCACCAAATTCAAAGATAACATTCATGGCTGCAAAAGTTGAACCCGGTAAACATCGTAATGGTACTTTAGATCCAGACTCATTTATGCTGACTGATTTTATTCTTGGCAAAACCTATCGTTTTCGACCGATATTGTTTCCTACAGAAAAAATGCCTACAACTAATTCTCTGTCAAAACTTGATCCTATCCGACTCAATAGTAGTGGAACTATGAATTGGTTTGTACGTAGTAGTGGTGGTGTCAGTAGTGCTTTACAAAATTCTCACACATGTCCAAGAGTTTCACAATCCCCCGGGCATTTATCATTTTCACCGGAAATCCATAGTTTCGGTCGTGTACGTGGTCTATCAGCTCCAGGATCATTTATTCATCCACAAGTTAGTTCACGGTGTTCCATGAAAAAAGATAAACGAATAACAACCATTGAGAAGGAATCGAATGACTGTGCTCCATTGAAATGTTTATCAACTAATGAACATGTAGATCTATGGTTAAAATGTATTCACGGTGTTATGGAACATATTCAAAACTCATATCTACATCGAAAATAACCACACAAAAAAATCACAGTGTTGTTGGTGTTATTATTGTGTTGTGTTGCTGTTTTTTTCTCTCGAGTGGCTGGCTTCTCCGCATTTTTTTGCTCCTACTCTTCTCCCTTTTTCTTTGTGCTTAACAAAAAACTGTAGTCAGTTAGGCTTGTTGAATTGCTTTGTTTCCCTTTTTTTTATCCGGTGTTTTCATGCTTTCTCAATAGATTATTCATTCTATCACATGTACATGTACATAGTAGATCTTCTATACATTTAAAGTGTAGTTCCTCCTGTCCATTAGGCAAGTGGGTGGGTAGTTTATTATTTTCATAATATTTATTAAACCTCAAGTTTCCTTTTCTAATTAGTGTAGTAGTAGTAGTAGTTATTACATTGTTTCATAGTTGCAAATCTTCTGATATAATTTTTGTGATTGCTAACCTCTTTCTTTTTTTTAAAAAAAAAATTGTGTATTTATTTTATTCATCCTTTTACTACTACTAATACTACTTCTACTATTATCAGTAGTACTACTACTATTATTATTATCAAATGTATGATTTGTTTATTCGACATGTAGACTACTACTACTACTAGACTGTAGATATTCTCAATGAATGAATGAATGAATGTTTGTTATGGTTTTTTAATCGGTTTTAATCTTTCTGACTGTTGTTCCTATTACTATTATTCATTTCTCTCTCTCTCTCTTACTGAATATTTGCATTTCCATGGCTTTATTTATGGCCATAAGACAAAGAAAATGACTTCCCAGTATGGTTTTTTATTGTTATTATTATTATTATTATTTGTGAACCGGAAAATTTCTTTTTTTTTTATTTAGTAATATATTCTTCTAGTTCTTTTGTTGAATTATTTACTTGTTTACTTACTTAACGACGTCTGCTTTACCCCATTGAGGAGGAGAAGGAGGAGTATAGGCCGCCAACCAGGATTATTATCCAACCTAATCTGTCCTGAACCTGTCTGTCTAGTTTTGTGTGCTGTTCAGGATGCGCTGTCTGGATGCTCAGCACTTTGCGTAGACAACTGTGAATGGAGACTTGTATCTTCTGGATGATAGCTTTTGTAGTTCTCCAAGTTCTCCGCTACACACGGTAGAATTGTCCTTGACATATTTGTATTGAAAATTGTGACTTGAGTGTTAGTTGGCTGTTGTTTTGAGTTGCAGATGTCCTATGATTGTAGAAATGCTGGTCCTTGCTTTGCCGACTCGCACCTTCACATCTGTAACAGATCCAGCTTACTCATTAATGATGTTTCCCAGATATGTAAAGGTTTTTACACATCCTCCAAAGATTCTCCATCAAATGAGATTTGGTTGTAGAATGTTGTATTGTATCGGAGGATCTTGCTTATTCCTTTGTGTGTGTTGAGTCATTCTGTTGCTGAGGCTGCTTCTACACTAGTCGTCTTCTGAATTTGTTGTTGCGTGTGGACTAAAAGATCCAGATCATCTGCGAACCCTGGGTCGACTATGTGCATTCTAGTTGTCCAACGTATTCCGTGCTTCCCTGCAGATGTTAACGTCTTCATAATCCTGTCGACCACCAGAAGAAAGCGAAAGAGTGAGACACCGGTCTTCACTTGAAATGAATCTGTAAACTGTCCTACATTCATCATGTGGGTGATGGATGCTGACCTTCTTCAATTATATCATATAGTTTGAGTGCGAGTAATTGACAGTCACTGTCAGAATCACTCACGCATCGACTTACACATGGTGCTATATGCCCATGTCAAACTACTTCATTTATTTCGGAAACTATTGGAGATGTAGCAAAATATAAGTCTAGATTCATTCAGCCTCTTCGGGTGTAACTGATTGGTATATCCTGTAAGTGTCCGCATTTTAACTATGTTCAAATCGCGTTCTGGAGGAATTTCGATCAAACAAGTGGGATACTGTTAACTAACTATGTCAGGCATTATCTGGTCTGACGGAAGTGATATATTCATACTTTGGGCTCAAATGAATGTAAATAACGATTGTCATAATGTTACAAATTCGTTTCATGCGTCATAAAACGCGTCTCAAACATCTAATATCTTCCCATAGAGATAAATACAGTCGGAATAATAAACTGCCAAGCTTTAGCTGGGGTGCTTTTAATTATATGTTTTCTTAACCTAAAGGGGTCTGAAATAATTCATAGGTTACAAGAGATAGAGGGCTAGTGAAAAGCTGAGATTAAGAACTATGATAGTCGAATAAAACGAGGATTAAATTGCATAACCTTCACGTTTCTCCAATATATTTTCACAAGCTAGTATAAAGCAATTGATTTCTTTGTGTTCGATTCTCGTTCTTTCGGTATGGTTCTGGGTGTTTGGTATTCGTGAGAAGTGAAAAGTAACCAGCTATTAGACATCGAATTCACGAGCGGATAGTGTGATTGCTTGACGCTTTAAACTTTGATAGCCAGTATAAATCCAAAAAAATTTGGGACAGAATACTTGGCATTGTCAGAGTTAACAACTTCCAATACATAAATACAAGGCTAGGGATACTTTATAGTTCAAACTTCTCGTTACTTTATATTATTCATATTTTCTATCCGATCATAGAACTGAACAAATTAACAAAGAGTAAATCTTACACCCAAGTCACTATTTATGATTGCCTATCTTTGCCAACTCCGGTGTTACGACGAAGTCATACTTCTGAGTTATTTAATCCATCTTTTTGTTATCTTTAGTTAAAGCATTTAAAATAGAATGTTTACTCTTCGTGTATCTGGAAGCCCTGCTGCTGCTTCCCGTGTCCTCGTTAGTGTAGGTTGTAGTATTAGGCCCTAGGGAAGAACTACTTATCCTAGTCTGGAACCCAGAAAATAGTCACTTGTGCGCTGTCCGACTAAACGGGACAGTAAGAACTCGTAAAGATAGGGACACTCGCCTTTGCCTCTTCGTCGTATCTGTCTACGCTACCCCTGGATGCAGTTCA